TTGCAGCGGTTCCTGCGTGTCTGTGTGCTTGAAAATATCCAACTGAATGCCGACATGTGCAATTAACGACAAATCAAAGTGTTAATCCATTTGTTACTTGATGTTTGACGGTTCAGTGTCACTCATCATGTTTTGGTTTTAACATACATACATACATACATACATACATACATACATACATACATACATACATACATACATACATACATACATACATACATACATACATACATACATACATACATACATACATACATACATACATACATACATACATACATACATACATACATACATACATACATACATACATACATACATACATACATACATACATACATACATACATACATACATACATACATACATACATACATACATACATACATACATACATACATACATACATACATACATACATACATACATACATACATACATACATACATACATACATACATACATACATACATACATACATACATACATACATACATACATACATACATACTTACTTACATACATACATACACGGTGCGTTTATGACGATATTTATATAATTATTTAAATTTATTCATTAAAAAGAAATAAAATAAGAAAAAATTACCAATGATTTAGCGCTAACAGGTTGTCCCAGTTCTAATTGGATAATAAATGGCCAATCATGTTACAACTTTTCAACAAACTCAGTGTCTTCATTTTATGAGGCCTTGAACATTTGCCAGAGTATGGACAGTTTGTTGGCTAGTGTTGGTTCTGTCAGCGAAAAATCTTTCATCGCCGATAGATGGTTAGTTTCCATTAGTAATAAATTTGCCATAGTTTAGTGACTCAATCCGCGTCGTCAACATAGTGGAATGTGCTGCTGTTTCTCATGCCTGAGTTCTCTTCTACCTTATTAAGTTTTTCCGTGATTTATCTTTAAAATTTAAAAAAAAATGGCCATCAAATTGAATGGTTGATGAATATGAATACGATTTCAGTTCTATTATTTTTTCCTGAGAGTAACAAGGACTGATCTAACATTACGCAAATGGGACACGATAACGATATATTTGCAGCAGAACCATTTAGTCAACATGTATTATAATATTAAAATAAATAAAATTTTGTGACAAGAATGAGGTCCAAAGTCACGTCCCTCAAAATTACGAGCATAGATTTACGAGCCTACGTTTCATTGCTTTGGTTAATCATACTCTTCTTTCACTGAATAGTTTTCATAAATTTGCACAATTTTTAGCACAGACACAGAACATGGAAAGAAGCAAAACGAATTTAGTCTACTGCAGATTATCAGGTAAAATGCAAGATTAACTAACTATCATGTGAACAACATATTATAGAAAATCATCCTTTCAAAAATAAAATAAACTAATCTCGATAAGGAATTTTTATTAGACTTAAAGATGGAGCGTGAGACCATTTACCTTTATAAACGAATCAAGAGGAGTAGAAAAAAGTCAAAAGTGACCAGCCCACTCCAAACATACAACATAAACAATTTATAACCTTTGTTTTATCCACATTCTCAACTTACTCGTCTTAATAAGTTGTAGAAGTTGAAACGAGTAAAACAAGTAAAAGATGTTATTTAAAATTGAAAAAAACGTAATAATTAAACTTTGATAAACGAAGTTTAAAAGTTTCTGAATAGAAATTCAATCAATCAATCTTTGGTAGCGTCCAGAGACCCAGTTTCCCGAGGTAGGAGGGTAGGACGTTTTCTGAATAGAAATTAAATAATTAAAAACATCGTTATCATCAGTTCTCGGTTTTAGACATTTTTTTAAAATTAATACTGATGACCGAAAAATTTCTTATCAATAGAATTACATAGCAATAAATTCGCATTTTACAGTTTTCAGGAAATAAGAATAAAATTAATTTAATCAGTTAATTTTTTAAAACATTACTAAATCAGCGAGTACCTAAGTAGACACGATTTTTGGATTGGGATGTATCGACTGGAATGTAAAAAAACTGAACCTCACCATTATTGGCTGGATGGATCTGATTTTGTTTTCAGCGGTTGGAATTCAGGTCAACCTAACAGCGATGTTTGCTGTGCGAGGATGAACAAGTTGGATGTAAACTGGGGATGGAGTGATAAGGATTGCCGTTTTTCGGGATATCGTTACATCTGCGAAAAGCCGCTTTCAAAAAAATGTAGGCTATTCTGATTCATTATTTTAGAGTTCCATTCATTTCATAACAATACAAACTGCATTTATATATTCGAGAAAAAACAATCAAGGTGACAGCGTAATCATCAATTAATCTCAATGAAACTTAATTGAACTAAATTAATTCTGCAGTAATGACACAGAAAAGGGCAATCAAGCGTTTGAGCAACAAATACGTAATCAGCGATAACCTGCAAGTGGTACAGAACAGGAGATGCTCAACATTGTACTGCATTTCAATGTGTGCACAGAAGTGGATTTGTGCTGGCTTCAACTTGCGACCATTAGTCCGCGGTGGATGTCAGTGTGAACTGAAAGATGCCAGAAGCTGGTTGACGCTTGCAAACGCCAGCGCAGTTGGGACTGCTTACTGGAGCTATCCGATTTATGGCTATGACAAGATCTAGATGCTAAATTCATTAAAAAAACTCATTGTTGATTAATTCTCGTTTAAAACTTGAATATTTGAAAAAATAGATCATAACGCGACGTAAATGACAGCTTAACTGATTGCTGGTAAGTTTCGTTGAAATTTAATTGAATTTCTAAATGTCTCTTGAATGCACCATCGCGTTGTTTGATGGCATTCAAGTTTTTTGTGTAGATGATGATCACTATGAAGATAAAAAATATAAGAAATAACAATTTAAAAGTAAACAATTAGAAAGCTAGACACATTGTTGTTGATTCATTTTAATTTCTTCAACATGTACTTCAAATTAAAATGCTGGTTTACAAAAGTGTTTTGTTCCTTCATTTCATAGCGCGAAATGAAACAAATGATTAAAATGAAAAATTAGATGGAAATGTTGCTGGATGAAAAAAATTTAGTAATCAAATCACGTTTGAAAATTATTTTTAATTATCATCTTAATGATTATTATCATTGACTGATTAACAACTATTTAATTAGGAACACACGTGCGCTGCGCATGTGATGATACATACAATATATAAATAACGAAAAAAAAAAACCTTAGCCATATCATTACTACAATCGCCACACAAAAATCATTTTAAAATAAAAAAAATTGATAAATGGATTTAATTTAATTAACCATCTCGTTAACAATACTGCATATTAGTATAACAACAACTATGATGAATGTAAGTGAAGCAACAGCTATAAAAACAATCAACGATATCATGTCATCCTAATTGTTGTACAGTTTCAATGGCCGATAATTGTGCCGATGAACGAACATGTAAATATACAATGGTTTTCGTGCTAGCTGGATAAAGACGTTTTCATTTGATCCGAATATATGTTGCGCAAGTAAGTCGTTTTGTGTGAATGTGCGTCTACCTTGTGGCCCATATATATATATATATATATATATATATATATATATATATATATATATATATATATATATATGGTGTAGCCCTAGTTTGTCAAAAAGTTCGATTGAAATTTAGAGTCTTCTGTTGGAGATGTTTGCTTGTTTGTTTGTGTGTGTGTGTGCGCGCGCATAGCTAAGATGATTGGCCATTACAACTAATCCATTAAATAATCATTTGTATAAATTATAAGGCGCTTCATTGCATTATGATTAATTATACAATTAATTAAAATTTTAATCAATCAATTACAATTCGCTCTCTAATGAGCTTCGATTAAAATTTATATTCTCTGTTGAGTGGCTGTTACAAGTACAAATTATCGCGCAAATTGGTTTCGATGACGGTAGTTGAATACATAGCTTGAACGTTAAAAATATCAATAGTTTGGCTTGCCACTTGTTCAGCAAAAAAAAATTCCAGTACAAAATAGAAAAATTCCATTAAAAAAGAAAAAAAATATTTTGCCCGTCGTTAAAATCAAAGTAAATAAATCCTAAAATTAAGAAAGTTATTGTTACAAAAATAGCAATTATAATTGTGAATTAACAGCAAAAGGTAGAAATGATAGCTTCGTGTTATTACAATAGGAATCGTGAAGTCAATTAACACTGTAAAGATAGTAACAGCGGTTGTAACGATTACAATAATATTGCCAATAAATAGTAACAATTTTTATAAGTTAATTCACGTGTTAATAATAACCTATAAAGAACCATTAAGATAACCGGAAAATAGTTTAGATTAATTCATACTATGGTATAATCATCGTTCGCAATAAAATGAATGTGGAATATTTATTATTATGATTATGTATTGATTTGATTGATTGAAATAAATCATTCAAGTGACGCCATCACGTTATTATTTTTTAAATATAATCTGTTTTGTCATTATCAACAAAGCATAAAATATCCTTTAAAACTGCCTTCATTTTTCATCACCATAGTCATCCTTTTTTTCATCATCATTTGTTGTCGGATGATTTGGGATAAACAATTAACAATAAGATATGTTAAAATAGTAATAATGATGATGCAGAACTCTTTTATTCAAAGCCAGGGTAATAAATAATTAAAACTATGAAATGGTAAAATAATGAAATGTCAATATAAAACCACCATGCTCACTTCAAAATAAAAGTACAGAGCGGTGAAATATATTCAAATTTAAATCATAAATTGTTTCTGTCGCAATAAATGCCGTCTGATAACCTTATAACAGTCTCAATCAACTCATCATTAAAAGAAATCGGCCACGTACTTTTAAACAATGGAAGATTAAAGTTATTACAGAAGCCAACTGGAGATATTTAAAAAGTATTTATAATTATTGAGCAGTGTTTGCAATAATAATAATAATAATAATAATAATAATAATAATAATAATAATAATAATAATATTAATGAGAGTAATCAGAATAAGCAACAAATTTGAAAAATCTAAAAAAAAAATAACTAAAAAAGTAGAGATATATAATTTGTTCATTGGAAAGACATCAGTATTACACCTCAACAACAACAACAAAATAACTTTATCACAAATTGTAGCTAACAATCATCAGCAATAATGGCCTTTTGCCAGAAACATCACATTACAATCATCTTCATCTCCTCATATTATCAACGTTATAATCCTCATCTTATCATCGTTATAATCCTCATCTTATCATCATTATAATCCTCATCTTATCATCGTTATAATCCTCATCTTATCATCGTTATAATCCTCATCTTATCATCGTTATAATCACCATCACCAATAACATCATTGTCGTTCGTAATGGTTAGCAATTACTCCAGACCAAATCCTTCGGTGTTCTCAATGGCAAAGTTCAACTTCTCAACGAGCTGCTCGTAGCTTTTGTACGGCGGAAGGTCAAGTCTATTGAAGCAGGTGTGGGACCTCGGCAACCAACTCTCCTTGCCGACCTTCTCCACGCAGAACAATTGCGGACCGTTGTTGCCTGTTTGGAAGTAACATTGGGGTTAGTGCCACACCCCAACAAAAATTGAAATTAAATGATAAAACCGCCACTGATGATTATTATCCATTAAGTACTTTAATTCATTAGTAGTTATAACTGCTGTAGAATGTTAACGTTAACTAAACTAGACTAGATCTATACTTTTAAAACTCTTCAGTTGGTTAAAGCAGTGTGTATTAATAAGAGTGCTAATAGAAAAGAAACTATTTTTAAAAATGGTATGAATTTAAAAAGGTACCAATTAATTCCCTGAAGCCTCCAACTGGGAGCCGGCAGGTACCCGTCACAAACTGTAAAAACCTCGTTCTTTTCTCATTGTCCAATTCTCTTATAAACTGAGTAAATTAAAAGAAACAGAAAAATGTAGTGAATTCAATTATTTTATAATTCTCTCCCATATATCAAAAAACACGCGTGAATCATCACACACATTGCGCGTCTCTTTATATATCAATCCATTGATTTCAACAGTGCCAGGCGCATCAATCACACAGTTACACGCACCATCCCGCCATTAAGACAGGCCATAAAGTAAACTTAAAATGCGAGATCGAAACACAAAATGAACGATGGGATGACATGGACGTATAAGCAAAAGATTATTTAAATATTCATCATCTTACCTTCCATAGCCAAACAATTTGTTTAGAACTTTTGTGGTAGTGTCTGTATATTGTGTTGTTTTCCCAGTCATCAACGTCAATCTCTTGCATGCCACACAACATCAACTGTCAGATGTTTTGGTATGTATATTTCTATGTGCGTCAGTGTATGTATACATGTTTGTGAGTGTGTGTACGTGCGTGTGTGTCTGGGTATATGCGTGTGTCGTAACTGACCTCAATTTCTCTCTCGTCAAAATATTGAAGCCACTGGAGAGGAACCACCTCGTTGAAGCCAACCAGGAATGCCTTCATTTGCTCTTCGACTCCTCTGTTGAACACCCACTGAGTCATCAAACTTTTAAATGTTTGAAAAATTATTACACTGCTATAACCATTTATATCCTTAATATTATCAAACGTTGCACTTTACTTGGTGAATAAAGTTTTCAAGTAGTTTTGAAAAAGAAAAGAATGATCTCACAGAAAAAATTTCTCAAAAATCAGCTTCAAAATGTAGCCAAAACTTCAAAAGTATGTTTGAAATGAAATGAGAGACAACGCGATGCAGGTGAGTTGACTAACTTGAGGTACTCCTCTTTATTCTGCTCGTCGACGACGATATCAAGCCCTCCAGGCTTCAATTCATGTTGCACAATTTTACCCAGCAACTCAAAATCAGACGCAAAACATAGATCCAAGTTGCATTCATCTATGTTGTTTTCCCTGGTCGATTTGTACGTGTGGATGTGTGTGTGGATGTGTGTGTGTTTGTTTTTAAGTGTATATACGTCTGTAGTGATTGAACCATAGAGCTACAATAGCGTAATGGCAATAGATGATAGTAATGATAATCGTAATCACCATACACCAATAAATCTATAAAATTGGCAGATGTTTGGATCGAACAAGTTTGAAATTCAAGATGCAAAACTAAATATAAAAATGTTAGCATAAGAGTAATTAAGCTCTTAATTAGAACAATGAAGCGTTGTATCAATATTGTAAATTTCAAAATTTGAAACCATTGATAAGATACTGAGAATGTTTGTGATGAAGATAAGGATAACAACAATGATGACGGCTAAAATGATGTAGAAATGATAATTGTTATATTGATAATAATAATAATAACAATAATAATAATAATAATGATGATGATGATAATGATAATAATGATAATAATAATAACACAACAGCAGAATGAAAACCACTGCAAAAATTTCTACTTGAAACCACGCTTCAAGTGAAAAATAGAACGTGATGATGGTACTTTCAAAAGTTGGTGGTTATAACAGGGGCAAAAATAACAATGTAATGGTATTTCATGATTTATTATTATTATTATTATTATTATATATATATATATATATATATATATATATATATATATATATATATATATATATATATATATATGTATGTATGTATGTAAAAATAATTTCTGTTTGGTACGTTGATTTGGCAATTAGGATATGTTGTGAACTGTTTCTACTAAAGTATTATCTTACGTGAATTATCCTCCGAGAACTACTAAGAAGTGTAAATAATAATAATAATAATAATAATAATAAATGATGATTAGAAAGGCATAGCACTAACTTGACCCAGACCATGGAGGAATGAAGTTCAGGGTCGATTGTTTCAATGTCAGCCAGGAAGAGTTTCTTGTTCAGAAGTTTCTTGTAGAATGGCATCGTGAAGCCACTGTCTATAAAGCGACCGTGAAAGAGAGCCTGTGCGCGTGAGTGTAAAGTATGTGTATGTGTGTTTGTTTGTGTGTGCATGTATGTCTGTGGGTGTGCCCGAGTGTGTATGTGCGTTTGTGAGCTGTCTGCTCTGTAAGGACATCCGCGACAAAATGTACAAAATAAAAAATAAAAATGAACACACATGTGCAGTTAGAAAAATAATTTGTACAGCTCAGACACACATCATATACAATTACTGAAGTACTTTGAGAGAGCATACCATAGCAATGAATATCCCCATGAACTTGAAATACTGAAGATGATCTGGGTTGATGAATGATGCCGGATTGATCTGTAGGCAGTAGTTCTTGTCGTTAGCATACTGGAAGAGACAGTACATTGGGTTGAGGACTTCGTGGGACACGTTGAAAAACCAGTCTCTGTTCATTTGGAAAAAGAACTCTTATTTTTTAAGACATTTCTTTACAAAAGCCAACTAGGTGAATACACACAAGTGTTATTAATCCATTTATGCAAGGCACATTCGCCTAACATGCAATTGAAGAGGCTTTCAGTTTTTTGTTCGCGTAAATAAACGTACGTTTAAAAAATTTGACGCATATGCACGAGGAAGATTTAACAGTTACCAAAAATGTTTACACCGTTATAGAGAATTGTCTCAACAATGGTATAACATTGAATTAAAAATGAATGGCATGTCAGTGAAGTACCTGGCCACACCCCCGTAGTCGAGTCCCTCCTCTCCCTTGTACGTTATGAACAGCCTCTTTCGCAGTTCATACGGGGGTTGTTTCATTATCTGAACGGGTTTTTGTTTAACTTTTTAAATACATCGTTAAAAATTGAAATAACTTGTAGGACTATTTAAATTTTGTTCCAAACTTTTCAACTATTTCATAGACTGCAGAAAAATTTTTGTATTTAACCCTTTTGTAATAGAAAATTTAGAAAACAACGAAGTTTAAAGAACCTGCACAAACGAGTCCTCAAACAACGTGTCTCTATTAACGTTGATCTTAACGTATCCGCTCGTGCTGTTGGTCTGTGGTGAATTTAATTTAATGATCATTTATGGGAATGTTTCTAAGGAATCCATTTAATTTAAAACATTAAGCAGATATTAAGTGATTTATAATTTATTTCATTTTTACTTCAAAATTGAAATAAAAACCAGTCAAAGAACCCAAACCTGACAAAGGTACCGAAACTGCCCTAACTTCCACCTGAAACTTCTCTCATACTGAATAGGCACTCCGTAGTTGCCCTTTGGTCTGTTTGTTTTCATGTAGGAGTTCGTTCAGGGAATAATTATTTACTATAAATATTTATTTATTTATTTATTACGAAATAAATTTAGAAAAAGTATCTTGAATGGCCATGATATACAAATAATCAATAAAAACAAAGAGTATATTAGTTAATAAATGAACTAACCAACAACAATTGAATGTTAACTTTAGAGATTTTTAAACATTTTTATTTTAAACCATGGAGATTTAATTAACTGTATAACGGGAAACCGAAGACAGAAACAAATAACACGCAATCTACACACAATCTACACACAATCAACACACAATCAACACATAACCTACACACAATCTACACACAATCCTTGAAACTGTCATCATAAGAGCCTCATTTGTACGGCCGGTATCGGCAAAAACAACAGCATTAACGACAGCCATCTTGTCTCACCCTTTTGGTACACCACCACGAGGATCCTGGAAGGTGGTGCTTCGGGTGTTGTGGTCAACAAAGTACATGACTCCCTCTGTTGTGTGTCTCATCTCCCAACCTTGGGGCAGTGGTTCATCTAGGGCTCCGAACCCAGGTCTGATTGGAAATTATTCATCGTGGGTTACAAATTACAAACAGAAAAATTAAATAACTAAATAATCACATCAAAAATCTCCACACTGTTGCTAGTGCTATTATCGCCAATCATTAGTATCTTCATATTCTCACATGAACATAATCAGCATGATAGAAAAAAGAAATTAACCCCTGCATCCTGGGATCTTGCCATTGTGTTGTTCGGTTCCTGTGGTTTACAAAGTACACCCTGTTGTTCGAGTCTATACGCTTCTCTGTTCAGAGATGTAACCATTGAGATGATGAAAGCGGTGAATACAAAAATTTAATGACGATAGCAATGAACAATAGTGATAAGAAGGAAAAGTAAATATCAGTGATGGTTACAAGGATTACAAAAATTGTAATTTTAATATTAACCACCACACTACAATGAAAAAAACACTGATGTATGTGTAACTGCAGGAAACAAATTTCACGCTTGCCTCAGTGAGACTAGTACATCAATCAAACACATTGCTTATGCCTTATGTCTGATATATCCAACCAACCACACATTTGCTAAACACATGCCAACCACCGAAACCCATATCAATTGCATTCACATCGAGTGAACAACCCGTACCCATCCCTACTAACCAAATCCTTCGGGTAGGGGACCCAATTCTTCGTTGGCATCGACACAGGCAGCCCCCAAGCCCTGACTGAGGTAGAGGGACCTCTGTTGGCCCACCTCAGCAAATGTTCTGTTCTGGCGCAGTCTGTTGTACTCCTGGAGGTTGTTGATGAGTGAAGAGGTCGGGGACTGCCAGGTTGTCGTTTTTGTGTTGTGGTCCACGTAGTACACGCGACCACGCTGATCGAGTCGACGTTCCCAGCTGTTTTTTTTTTGAAGAAGAAGAATATGGTTGGTGACGAAGATGGTGATCATGGCGTGTCTGATGGTGATTTGCCTTGTAATGATGAGGATGACTAGGAAGATGATGATAGATTATGATGATAGATGAACTAAACTGATGACCATGACGATGGCCAAGACATGAATAGTCTACAGGAAAACAAAATCAAAACAAACAAGTATGTAATGATGTAAGATGATGAGATGAAATTTCAAAGTGTTAATAACAATCCATCTGATCGTTCGTCATCACCATTATCATTATCGTTACCATCACCACCCTCATTATCATCATCTACTAACCCAGCTGGAAGTGGTGTCGGTTTTTCCCAGGAAGTTGTTTTGGTCATGTGATCGATGTAGTAAGTTCTACCGGATGGATCCACACGAGACTCCCACCTTATTATTATTATTATTTACATTATAATTATTATCATAATAAGTAATTACATTATTGTTATTATTATTATTGTTGTTGTTGAAATTACTACTATAACAACTACTACAGCATCTGCTGTTGGCATTGGATTTTACAGAAGAAATAAGTCAAGTCAGAGATATCTATCTATACTCTCAATAAAAGGCCTGTGTCAGATTGAAAAACTTACCATCACCGCCACTTATATTGAAACCATTCAAATGGTGATTTTTAAAAAATTCCAAGTAAAAAACGAAAAAAAAAACTCACTGAGGAGGCAGAGGATTGGAAGTGGATGAAGCACTTGTAGATGATGAAGCAGCTGTCGAGGCATGAGGTGATGGTGCATTTGATTTCTGGGCGTCAGCTGATGTAAAATTATTATGATCATCGTCAATTTTATTATACTATATTATTTTATAATAAAATTATAGAACCTGTTATATAAAATGAAAAGTTATAGTAGTTTAATAACTTCAAGAATTTAAAAATGTTTTGCTGATCTGGTAAATCACATAATCAACATTATAGATTAAAGACTAAAAATATATAAAGATTATAAAAGCGGGGAAAAAACTTGCCTGCTGTCGTTTTAGGAATCGCTGTTGCAGTGGTAGTAGTGGCACTGGTGGCTGTAGTATTTGCGGTTGTTTTTGATATAGATATTGGCACTGTTGGCTGTTGTTGTGAGTTTGATGAAGCTGCAGTCTGCTGTTGCTGCTGTGAACGATTGCTACTAGATTTTGATTTACTTTTTGGATAATGTTGTTGTTGATTTGTTGATGAGCTTGCAACTGCTGTAGACGTTGTTGCCGTTATTGATGTTGTTGTCGTTGCCTGGTTTTGTTGCGTTGCTTTTGTTGATAAAGATAACCTTTGTTGTTGCTGTTGTTGTTGTTGTGTTTGAGATGTTATTATAAATGGCTGTTGTTGTGTGAACGTTGCAGTAATGTTTTGTATTGGTGATAATGATGATGAAGATGATGAGGGTTGTGTCTGTGATGATGACGATGACAATGATGACGATCTTCCAGCTGTTTGCGGTTGTCTGTTGGCATTAGGTGGAATGCTTTGTTGTTGTGTATGTTGTTGCTGGTCTGAAACTGGAGGCATGTGAGGTTCTATAGCTGAAAATTTAAAATTTTAAAATAATAGTAAAAATATTAATAACAATAACATGATAATCATTGTTGTTAACTTATTAATATTGTTGTTGTTAAATTTACAATATTATTTCCATCTTTAGAATCAAGTTAAACTGTGATTACAAATTGAAGAGGGGTAAATTTTGCACTAATTCATACCATAACATTTGTAAAAAGCTGATCAATCAAAACACAAAAAATAAATATAACACTAACTCCACTAACAACAATTATTGTGTAAAATAACCAAAAATATCTTACAATAAAAAATCTTGTTAAATTTTTTTAAAATAACTAATCAAAAATATTCCCAACTGAAAGTCATATTGACAATGCCATTCACAGCTGCAAGTTGGTGGCCATTGGTACCCTTGTTCTTATTGTGGCCATCATCATTAGTACTCCCACTTTTGTGACCACCGTTGCTAACTGCTTCATGCTGAATGACCATTCCATCTGAAGCTGTAACAGCAGCAGTAGAAGAAGCAGGAGTAGTATTATTACCAGAAATGTTTGTATTAGAAACCGGTTGCTAATTTTGTTTAGTAATCTCAAATGAGAAATGAGAACGAACAAAACATGAATGGAAGTAACTAATATACGCAGTGCAATGGTGTAATGGTAAAGTGCCTGGCATCGCTACAGCAGTGACCGAATTCGATCGCAAAGAGATCCCCACCTATTACATACAATGTGTAAGGTGCGTTGTTTCACATGGTTTTCTAGCTATACCTATGAAAAAATAATGAGCAGAAAATATTCTTGAGAAATAATAACAAAGTATTAGTTTTTGGACTAGAAAACAGTAAAACAAAGAAAGACAATGAAGCTATTAAGATAGCAACAACATAGTAGATTACTATAATTATTATTGTTTACATTATTATAAGTAGCAGGCTACTGACAATGACGCAGCTAGCATAACATTATTGTTACTAAAAATATCTCTGCTAATATACAGGCACAGGCTTATACTAGAATTTAATGAGCATACGTTGGTTCATTTTACTAATCTGATTATTACTGCAACTACTACACTCACAAAAAATAATTGTTATTCAATTCAATAAATTCAATTAAAACTATCATAATTATTATTAAAAGTTGACAGATATATTAATATTGAAAAATACGAATGATAATAGATGAAATGAGATAACTATATGAGTAATTACTAACATACTCCATTAGATATTTGTGGATTGTTCAACCGTAACCTTACATCATTACTGCCAGTAGTAACAAAATTACCAGTCACATTTACACTGTTAGTAGTAGAAGTAGTAGTAGAAGTAGTAGCAGTAGTAACGGTACTGGTAGTTGTAGTTTTAGTAGCTGTAGTAGTGTTAGTGATCAAAATAGTAGTAGCCGTTGTGGCTTTAGTAACGTTATTTAGTGTAATGACATTTGCTGTCCCAGTTGTTGTTTTGATAGCGTTGTTTTGCTGCATTGGTTTTGTTGAAGATGTTGTTTGTTTGGTTTGTACTGACCCTGTATGCCTGTTTCCTGGTATTGTTGTTGTTGTTGAGGATGATGACGATGATGGTGATGGATGGGTGGCAAAATGGTCTTACATCAGTTCTTACATTGATTGCACTGATCAGATTCGAAAGCAAAGAAACCTCTGTCTGGCATATGATAAAGCGTAGGATGCCACGGCATATGAGTGCTGCTGAGTGCTTGTCAAACATTGAAAAGAACTTTTTAACACTACAGAAATGGAGCTATACAAATAGCAGGGATTGATTGATTGATTAATTGATTGATTTATTGATTGATTGATGATATAAAAAAAAGTATGATATCGTTGATGATGACAATGTAATCGCTCATGATGATTTGTGATTATTTATTCAATGTTGTGGATTATTTTTGCCAATTTGCTGACTCAAAAAATGAGAACACCAACCATCGAATATAAAATAAAGAACGATGACATTAAGAAAAACTGACAGCTGAATAATACTGAACATGGTAATAATTTTGAAAATCTTTATTGCTTATTCATTGAATGAATGAAGTACGTGTCAATATAATGTATGTGAGATTTTTATGCCTGATCAAATATGGATGTGCTAAATAAAAACTTCACAAGTACAAGAAACGATAATACTATTAACTACATGTGAGAGAATTGTTAACACTTATAATTGTGACATTAATGACGTTGAATCAAAATAATATAAAAGTTAGCAATAAAGAATTTGCCATTTACTTCAACAAAAAGAAACTGGTTGACAAGCCTTACATGTGATTCTCATTCACAATGCTCATAGATATAAGTCCTAGGCTAATAACGCAATTCATGATTCAATCTGTACTTACAGGCGCATGTACATGTATATACACATGCGTATCTGTACATAAATAATTCTCATTCTTATCCTACCAAGCCTGCCACTTCAAACATTTTAAACTTCATAATAAAAATATTTCCATATTTAGCTGTAATGTGTCATAATTATCTTGATAACTCACTCATCTTACTCCCAGTTATTTTTTTTTTAAATTTCTTCATCCAGCGCACTTTTCAAAATATGCTTATGGCGCTCTTTAGATGTTGCCGTGTGGCAGTTGTGATAACATTTTAGTCAGAGCATAAAACCATTGAAAATGTCACCCCTTCAACTGCTCTTTAAATGTGAAAGTGACATTAATCAGATGCTTGATCAAAGAACTAATGTAAAAAATGTATGGTACACGGGTTTAAAGAATAACAAAATATTAACACCAACCTGATAGACCGACAACAGTGTCAAACTTAATGCCATCCAGATGCACTTGAAGAGTCCCCATCACAATCTGACCATGACCTTCTGAATCAGTCTTCAACTCCACTGTGTGGTTGAGGTCTTGCACTGTTGTATGGCAGGGATAAAACCAGTTTTACTGGTTGTATTGCGATGGTAGTACTAGACTAATAACAATGACGACAGAGAGGAAGTAGTAACTATAAGTAACAGCAGCAATAGTGTTAAAAAAATAGATGAATAAAATCTGGCAACAACTAAAAATGATCAGTTTATTTAGAGGAATGACAATTAGGATAGAATCAAATAATTATCACCAAAAATATGAAAAAAAAGTTGTAAACAAATAGGCAACAAAATCCACTCAACATAATAATAATACTTCTAATAACATTTACAACAGTAGTGATAACAATGTGACGAACATTTTCCATTGTGAAACTTAAGAAGATACGGGATGTCAATTTTGCCCTGCCCTAGAAGAGCATCATTACGAAACTGACACTTGTTCATCACCTTTATGTAGATCTTACTCAACTGTGTTATGTTGCTGGGTGGGCAGAAACAGAGTGATACAATTATTTTTTTTCTTTCTTTACTATTCTTCATTATTATGTGATTAAAAATTTATAACAAGAGCAGTATAATTTAAATAAAAAGTTTCATCTAAACTATAAATCAAACAAAAATATCTAATCAAAATTTTAGTATATTAAATTTTTATGCAAAAATGCAAGAAATAGTTACAGCTGGATATATATATATATATATATATATATATATATATGTATATATATATATGTATATATATATATATATATATATACATATATACACACACACGTGTGTGTGTGTTGCGTGTATGTGTATGTGGTGGTGTGTGTGTAAACTATATAGAATTTTTCTTAGAATGAAACCTTCTATACTATATACTTTAAATTACTGATGACATAGATACAGACTTACAACATAAAATTATTAACATTATCAATTTTTCATGCAAACAGTAGCACAGAGATAAGCAATTTGAAGCATTGCATAGGCAATGAAAAAAAAACTTCCGAATCAAATATCTCAAAATGCTAGAAATAATGAGAAGTTTAAACAAACAAGAATTAAGAAATTAAATTATGAAATATTAAGAAACTACATTTTAAACAATTTATTCCAGATAGGTTTAGTAGTTTTGTGAGCCACGTTAGTTTCCAACTGTCGATCATCTTGGATGATTTGAACGTAAGGGTCTGGCTTCATTAATGATAATACATTTTTGCTGTGAGCAGTGCTAAAAGTAGCTGATTTTACTGAAATTAGAAATAAATAAATTAATTAATTTTAATAGATAATAAATATATTAGTAAAAAATTTTGATTAAATTTAAATTTGTATTAGCTAATTTTGTTGTAAATAACAAAGAAAATCTGATAAAATTAGAAATCAACAAAGATAAAAAATATGTAAAAAAATGTTCATAGACATAATTAGTCACTTACTAGTTAAATGTAGAGTCTGGATGGCATGATTTGTAGTGTTAATAAGAGAATCTGCCATCATCAGAATGGAATGATTTCAAATTTAGCAAACAAAAATCTGAAAAGATAAGGAAAAGATGGAGAGTGCTACATCATTAAAATATCATCATAGTTTCAATTTTAAGTATTATATTCAGTTCAGAATTTATTTAAATCAAATGTTATAAAATAGATAATGTATGAATTATTTATATTTTTATACTATAATTGTATAATTTATACTTTATTCTATAGAAAAAATTAATCAATAAGTGTACATTTAACAATTATCACTGTAATTAGATCACTTTGAATACTAATGTCAAGTTTGGTTATGACATGTATGATATAAAATAATTTTTTAATAAATAAACAAATAAATATAAAAAAATTTTATCAATAGGTCATTTTTTAATATGATCTGACATATGGCATCATGTGAATGAATAATGGTAAATAAACAGAATTAATTAAATAATTATAATAATAATTAATCAAATTTAAATTTGAATGAAATAAATTATAACTATTTCATTCTAATTTAAATTTGATTAATTAATAATTAAGTAATTATTAATTTGATAAATTATATTTATTTTTTAAAAATTTAAACATATTATTTTTTAAATTTAATAGTTATTGAAAAAATTTACAAACAAAACAGTAAAATTCAGTTCCCAAACAAATTTTCTTTAATTTTTTTTAAATTTTTAATTTAATTTAGAATTTATTTTTCCATTTTTTTTGTAATGATTTAATTAATTATTAATAATGGTAATCATTAATTATTTTGTCAAAATAAAAAAATTTATATTTCTTAGTTAAAATTAAAAAATATTAAATATTAAAAAAAACTTACGTTCAAGTTAACTTTTTATTTACAAAGTAATTTGTTTCTTTATTTTTTTTTACAATTAATAACAATACGAATATTTAACAAATAAAAGTTAAAAATAACTTCACTTCATCTATTAGAGGATTACACTATTGCTGGAGCAGCCATTAACGTCTGTTTATTTTTACTTTTCAGTGATGGGCGTTTCTGATTGAAACCTTAATATTATTTCAAATATTCATATAATAAACTTATATGTTATATGCTTCTTCTTTATATGTTCTACGATATAAATATATTTATATATCTACATATAAATTGAAGAAGCCATATATATATATATATATATATATATTTAGTTACACGCATATACTACATGTATACAATTATATAACTTGATGAACTTATAACGTATACTAATTAATACAATATACTTATAGCACATATATATATTTATTTATATAGCCACTTTATACATACTCTACATACAAAATTTCTACCCCATACCTACATACAAGATATTTATAATTATATTTGTGTTAAAACTATTATAATATTAACTGTTATAAATTAAATTTTGTTATTCATAATTTAATATTTATAATAAAAACTAATATTTTTTAGTATATTTACATTTAGTACATTTGCATTTTTTCATTTTTATTCTTTTGCTGCTATATTTGAGTGTTTGTCAGAGTTTGGAATAATAACTATGTTATTTGAACACAACCCTACTCCTAAGAACAAAATCCTGACTACGCCTATGAGTGCAAAACAGTTTTTAGGCGCTGATTCAATGGAAAGCATTTATCAGCTTGTTGGACGAATGCCAATTTATTTTCAACATTAAAAAAACAAGATAGACAATCAAATGAAACGTGCAAAAACATATAACAAAAACAAATTTTTGCAAATTGAAATAAAAAAATGTTTAGAGCATTAGTATATAAAATAAATAACCACTTATGAATAATAAGTAAGTTAACAAAAAACCTGCATCAACAATATAAAATGAAACAAAAAAACTATTAACTCAAAGTATCAGTAATGTTAAGTGGTAGTGGTAACAAAAGTAGTTATTATAATGTAGAGCATTTGGAAAAACAAAACATTTAATCACTAATAAGGCAGATATCGAGCATGCAGAAGATGGACCTGCATGTTGGGCACGGAGATTTACTCGAGAGCCAGGTCTCTGGCTGGTTCTGATCCTGCCGACTCGCGAACCACTTGCCCATGCATTCGAGACACCACATCGGTCTGCACATGCAACTCTGGCATGCTTGCTGCGAAAAATTGTTGCCATGCTGTCCATCTTGCTCCTCTCCTTGAGGCAGATCTAAGCAGCATTTCTGCAATTTGACGTTGGATATGACTTGCATGCAGCCTATGCAATTTTCGACCTCCTAGTTTGAATTATCAAAGAATTATTTTATCTATTCAATAAAGGATAGCAAAAAAATTCTGAAATCATGACAAAGAAGTTTATTTAAATATAAAAATTGAAAAAAAAATCTGAAAATATAAATTCTATTAAGATATTTTACTCAAAACTAAAGAAACGAATGAACTTTTACAACCATGTTCCTAGGCAGACGATATCTTGGATTCCTGTTGACTTCATATTTAAAAGCCTCCACAAACTGATCTGACAGAGATTGTTGAATAACGATGTTTCGTAGGTTTAAGATGGGACTTTGTAGTTTATCTTTTAAATCATTGTACTCTGTAGCTATAAGTCTGATGAAAATTTATCAAACGTTATATTTAAAATTGATATTAAGTTATTTCAATGAATATAAGCCTTAAATTTTAGAACAACAGATTATAAATAATTAAAATTGCAAATTACATAAACAACCAACACACCAAATTCAATAATAAAATATAACAATGGAATACAACAATGGAACCTAATTTTGAATGGTTTGACCCTGTGGTCAGCACTGGTAACCATGATGTTGAGCACCTGAACTCCAGTTGACCTCTCATAATGCATGTCATGATTCTCACTGCCCACAATGGCAAGGTGGGTGTCTGCCTGCCTGGCAATCTGGATGGTGTACGTGGAGGTCATGATGAGCCACGTGTCTGTCACGATGAGCCTTCGACTGGTGAGTTGTTTGTCAAATAATATCATTAACAGGTGATTGAAATTAAAATAACTTATTCAACTTTTGTTCATAATTATCAACTGGGACATAAAAAAATGTTTGAAAATCAATGACAAATACAATGTTGAATGTCAAGAACAATTACTATAAAAATTGCATTACATATCTGAACCAACTACAAATGTAGCAAAGACTCACCTATGTGTGCCTGTGGTGAACTTATCAAACCTTCTGAATTCAATGTTGACAGATGAAGCCACAGATCTCCAGCCTTCCCCTTCAACTGTTAAATTACCCAAACGTCTTGAAATTGGATGAGTATTCCAGTTTGAGTTGAACCAATACAGTGCAAACAGCACGCAGATGAAAGAAAACAAGCAGCAGAGTATGGAAAACAGACACCAAATTTTTCCAAAACTGTCTAGAATAAACAAGTCTATTCCCTCTGGCGAAATAATTGTGAAGCCAGTGACAAAACCTATTTGATATTTTAATTTTATTTATATGAATATTAATGCAAACAATTGTTATAATTTTTCTGATTTAATATAATGTCTGAGAGAAGAGGATAAGATACAAAATGGTTTGATGCTGGATTATGATTAATATGCATTGCAGAATGGATCAATATTTCAATTGAATACTGATGTCTTATTCAGATGTTCAACCTGAGTACAGTCTTATTATAAATTATATTATATTACAATTATATAATTTGCAAATGAATTGATTTTTGTCAGCTCTGTCGTGAACTGAAGCAAACAAACACATGCCATAATTCAATTCCTAATAAATACATTACAATATGCCTCAACCAACCAACCAACCAACCAACCAACCAACCAACCAACCAACCAACCAACCAACCAACCAACCAACCAACCAACCAACCAACCAACCAACCAACCAACCAACCAACCAACCAACCAACCAACCAACCAACCAACCAACCAACCAACCAACCAACCAACCAACCAACCAACCAACCAACCAACCAACCAACCAACCAACCAACCAACCAACCAACCAACCAGTCACAATAAAGTGAAAAAAATTTTCATCAAATTATTATTATTAATTATTATATTATATTAAAATTGAGAGTTGAGACTAAACTACATAACACAAACAGTAAACATTTTTAATCTATGTAGACATTTTATTAGGGGCCCTAAGCTATTTAGGATTCGGGCCCTTTACGACTTTATATGTCTATCATTTTTATATTAGTTTTTGAATAAATATAAGATTTTTGGATAAACAAAGTTAAATTTGAATGCATTTAAGAAAAAACATTTAATTTTTTTATTTTAGAGAAAAAAAACATTAAACCATTGATCATGAAAAATTAAAATATTGTCGAAATTGAATTATATGTATAACGTTCTCTATTTATCTTTTTGAAAAATGTTGTTAAGTTGATCATTAAAGGAGTCATTGTGAACAAAATTAAATAAAATATTTTCTTTTTTGCATTGCCAGAGCAAAATCACTGATGACTTCTTCAAATGATATATTTGTCACTGATAGACACATAATAATGGGGGAACATAATTCATTTGAATACAAAAAACAAAATAACCTAAAGGCAGAAAGGAGTGTATGATAAGGGTCAGAGTCGTCCTCCTCATATGGTAGCCAATGAAATCCATTTGTTCACTGCCCAAACATTCTGCAAACATGTTTTGTATGGTCAGACCTGCAGATATGATTTCTGTGGTCGGAGCCACTAAGCAGAATACAAATAAAAAATAAATAATAACAAAGATGACTTCCTCAGACGACATTAGCAAAAATTAACAGACTCTGTTATAAAATTTTAATTCAACGAAATTGTAACGTATAGGACAAATTTTCAAAAAAAATTTAGAGTAGTAGAAACAACATGCACACGTATGTTGATTTTTTAAAAGTGATATCAAGTCGTGTTAATTAATAATCAACATGTTCTTTCGGCTGATTGGCAATATATTTTTTACTACATAAACTCAATGCGTCCAATGCAGTATGAATTTATTAACATTAGGTTTACTAAATTATTTTTTCACAGTAAAAACTTACAAATTCCAAAATACGGTTTAATCGCTTGTAGATTAACAGCCAGCTCAAACGCTTCATTCCAATTTCTTGTCAAAATTCAATGGTAAAAAAAGATAATATTGAAAACATCTAAATAACATAATTAAAAATTGATTTTAAAGCAAATCATTTTTAAAGCAAACCATTTCGTTACGATAATCAGCCGTTTCGTCATCTAATATGCTGATTAGTTTTTATAATTCAGTTTAAGATTTTTTCAAAATAGGCGACAAGAATGGGTGATGAAATTTCGGACGTTGCGCTCAGGAAACAGATAAAGAAAGACTTACTGGCTTTTGATTTTTTATTTAGCTTATTTGTCGCAGCTCTCTCCAGTTACAGGCACGATACAGTTCTCAGACCATTTCCTCCTCCCTACATTGTCCGTGATGTTTTTGTTGATGATGGCCTTGGGTCCAAATTTGAGAAAGATTTTGATGGTTTGGTAGGTTCATCCATTGATTCATTTATTCACTTTATTGTGTTGTATTGATACTGGTAATACTTTAATAGTTTAATTTAATATGCTTTTTAATCGTTGATTCTCTGTTGTAGTAGTCATTTTTTGAGTGGATAATGATAAATAAAGAATAGAGATAAATGGAATAGAAATAAATGGATATATAATATAAAGAACAAATCATTGAGTTTGATTAAAGAGTATGCCTTTTTGAAGATTGTTATAGATTGGCCAGATCAATCAGTTTGTTATTTTTTCTATATTTAATTTAATAGAAAAAAGATGTTGCAAAAATAAAAAAGATGAAATCATACTTGAACAGAGAAGGACAACTTGATGTAAAAATATTGAAGTTACTTTCCTGGATTTTCAATTCAAAGAAATTTATCATCAAATCTTGCGATATGCAAGTGGTGAGCAAGTTTAGTCAAATTTTTTAAGATGCTAAAAATGAACTTGTATTCTTCATGACTTTATTTTATAGTTTATATTATGTTGTAAAGTATATATATATATATATATATATATATATATATATATATTAAATATTAATGAAACATAAAACTGAAGATGCTGCTTATACGGTTTATTTGTTAAAAAATTTATTTAATTTTGGGATATAGTTAGATTATATTTTTCTCTAAAACTTGTTCCTTTTCTTAAAAATTATTTTTTCATTTTTGTAAATTTGTTTCTCAATACTATTTTGAACTTAATTATGTTAAATGATAATTTTGAATGAAACTAACAAGTTCTCAGAAATTCGAGAGAAAGCATGCTACACGTTTGAGACATCACCTCCCACATACATATTCTCCGTCGAACATTCAGCTCTTAGTAATGAAAGATTTGAGACATTGCGCAATAATAGAAACGTTTTCTATGGTTACCATGGAAGCAAGCTGGAAAATTTTCACTCCATTCTCCATTTTGGTTTAAAAGCAAATCTGAATAAAGTACTTTTGGTTTGATGATTCTGGAGTGATTGAAATAACCTAACTTTAATTTGTACCTATTATCATTATGTAACATGTTTCATTATACTTTTGTTTTAACGAATTCTAAACATAGCCTGATTATTGCTCTGCTATACCATATAAAATCAGAATTCTTTGTTTGGTAATGGCTCCTATCTATCCAGTGAGTTGTCAGTAAGTCTGGACTATTCACCATATGGGCATGGTTGGCCAAGCAGCTGCATGGGATCCAGGTTTAGTTAATGTTATTTTGTATATCATTGCCATTTTTGTTTGCTGCTATCTTGGTTATTTGTATTGCTACTATATCATTTCATTTTTATTGTGATTTGCATTGCTGTTTTAGTAGAAGTTCATTTGTTATTTTTTCCTATTAGTTGTATTTTTAATTTATGATATTGAATTATATTTTTCACTGAATTATTACTTAATAGATTGAGTTGTGTAGCAGTGTGTGAGATTATTGATGATCCATCTGTCAAGTGCAAAACTCAAAGTAACCAATTGCAAAATATTTACCTTAAGATAATACAAAATTTATTTTCACAAATATGTGTTTGTACGCGCGCGAGTGTGTATGTGTGCGTGCATGTGTGCGTGTGTGTGTGTGTTTGCTTGTGTTTGGATTTATGTATATTGCATTGTATATTGCATTGTGATAACCTAAAATTGCATGCTTTCATTAAATGTTAATAAAATTGAAATTCTTTTTCAAAAGTTTCTTATAAAATATCTTCCCATAATGACTAAATAGTTGCACGTTCGTCATCTATTCCAATGTCTTCAAAAAAAATTCTCAGCAGAAGATAAGAGCCGTTCACACATAGACGGCAGTATAGGCGGGGAGATACCGGAGAAGTACTACATTGTTACTGATGATGAGTTCGTTAGGGTTAAGTACCTACTGGTCTATGCCTCGAGAGATAAGTACTTGAAGTTAGTAAACTGATGAGGATAATGATGATGGTGACGAAGATGATGGTTTTTTTGATGTTGACGACGATAATGATGATTATGAAGATGATTGGGTTGGCGATGTTGGTCAACAAATAGTATCTTGTTTTTTTTTGGGTTGTTGTTGGTACTAAACAGTATCTTATTTCTTGGGGTTTTTGTTACTACTCACTGCTGGGCATGTTGGTTAAAAATAGAAATAACTAATTATGATAAATTGTGGTAAATATGGTAATAATTCAAGTTAAGCTAATGTTGATAGGGATGCTAAGAGTACAGTTAGTATTGAGCAGGCGTGTGGTATAGTGTTCTGCCGTTTTTACCAAAATTTCAATTTTATTTGAGATACGATTATTTTATTTTTGACATGTTGAAAGGTTTGTGTTTGATGTTTTGTTTTTATTTGAATAAACAGAAGAGAGCCATCATGGTACCAAAGAAATAAATTCATTTTCGTAATATTGTTCTATGCTCTTGTTCTGGTTGCCATAGGAGCATACAGGTCACCGTATTTTAAGAAGTTTCTGGATAAGTTTTCCAATTCTGAATAAATTTTGTTTATCATGTTTTATGCTAATTAGGTTATTAATTTTATTTTTTAATGTTTACTCATTATTGTTCTTTCATTTGATTATTTTTTAATTTTTGTATTCTGGTCTTCGGTTTATTTATTTAATTAATAATTAATTACTTTTACTTTTTCTCTGAAATATGATTTTAATGATTCTTTGTCGATATTAAAGATTATTTTTAAACAATTATGAAATGTTCATAAATTGAAAAATGACCGAAGATATAAATACCAAATGACATCATTGTGCCTTATTTGTGATTTCCAACATCAAATTCTTTTTTTTATCACTCATTTTCTTTGGTTAATTGTTAACTTTTCTTATATCATCATTTTTTTTAATACGTTCATTAATTTTGATCAACTTAATTCTTTGATTGATTAATAAAAAGAGATTTGTATTGAGTCAATAAACAATTTTCCAGGATTAATAAGTTTTGAGTATTTGCGTTCGGAAACGTGTGTCCGTTCGTTTTATCCATAACCCTATCATGTTAATGTCAGTATACCCATGTACACACTTTTTTATTTTTCAGTTTCTCTTGCAAAGAATTCATTCATCATAACCAACTTTTGAAAGGTCGTCACCATTACGAACCATTGCTTAGTTTTATGATGAATAAAATAAAATTTATTTATTTTTTTTAAACTAAAAATTTGTTTTGTTTTATTTCTTTTGAATTGAAGAAATGAGGTTTGAGGTCATCTTTCTTCATCAACTATTAAAGAACTTTTAACAAATAGCTATTTGATGCTTGTGTAGTTCGTCCAGTATGTATATATATATATATATGCTGGTAAAAATATATATATATATATTCATTTATATAGCGCCTATTAAAAACATTCTCATGGCGTTTTACAACTATGGCAATTTTTTGCAAGGAAAAAAGATATGTCTTCAATTGACTTTTGAACTGGGGAAGTGTCAGACCAGACCGGCGCAAAAAATATGGAAGTTCATTCCAATGCCTTGGTCCATAAACTGCTAAACTACGTGATGCAATCTTTAATTTAGTATATATATAAACATATATATATATATATATATATTGTTTATTTTTACGTGATTTCGAAGCCGTTTTCAAACATTTTTTAAACAAACTAAATAATAATAACTATAAAAAAGTAAACACTAATTTTCAGTTAATAGTAGAGTTGATCAAATGAAATGATGTTAATTGAAATACATCAGTGATTTTGTTTGACAATGTCATCAGGGCATGCACATAGACACGCACCACACATCCAGTCGCAATCATACAAACAATTACAAATTTTATAAAATATTAACCGCCTCCTCGGTATAGAATGGCAATTTTTTTAATGAAATGAGAATGGAAGTAAAATGTTCATTGAATCAATGTAAAGGTTCTTTTATATATCGTGCAACATATTGATTAACTAAAGAGAAACACAACTTATCGATTACGTCACAACTGTACACAGTACGAACACATTTGATATTCATGATTCAACGGCAGTCACACGAACTTACTTACGTACTCGCGTTAGAGGTTAAAGACAGTTCACAAAGGGCGGTGAACAAGTACACGATCATACAAACAAACGCATTATAGGTACAAACAAATAATCAGGCATACACGTACAAATAGAAACATTCAAACTCATGCAGATAGAAACACTACACATCACCGATATCCAGCCATCATGCCAGTCATGGACACAGTGTGTTCAATTGCCTTACGCCGTAACTCGGCAATGCTGCTTCCACGCCAAACATCTTCCGGATTGTCAACAGCCAGCTGATGAGGTTGTTGTCCGTACGCTGCCAGCTGTTGTTGTTGCTGGCTGTTGGGTGAGTCCACGTACATGCCAGCATACATCCCGTTGTCCTCGGGGGAGCCTGTTTGCTGCATTCCTATACAATAAGGTTGTTGCTGTTGCTGACTTGATAGTACTGGACCGAGATTGTTGTTGTTCGATGAATTGTTGGTATTGGCGTTATTATTGTTGAGAAGCGAACTGTTGTTGCTATTGTTGCTACTGCTGTTACTGCTACTACTGCTACTGCTACTACTTCCGTTGCTGTTGCTGGCGATGTGCGATTGTGTCATGCAGGAGAGAGGCGTCATCTGCCTTGAAATTGGGAATGGAGGAACGGATGTGCATGAAAAAGGATTGTGAGGATGTGTGACCGGTCCTGCCATGGGATTCATCATAACTGATCCCAACAAATTTCCCTGATGTCCGTTGTGATGATGTGGATGGGTGGCTAGTTGGTAGTGATGAGGATGATGATGATGAGGATGAAGATGGTTGCCTGCGTTCCCACCGTTGCCAGATATCATGGATGATGTCGCCCAGCCGTTGCGCGCCAAAGTTGGATCAAAGTTGAAGAAGGAATCGTTGATGGAGGCGGTGAACGGCGAGAGACACGTGGGTGGCAAAAGGGAGCCTGGCGATCTGAACACATTTGTCGTCTTCTTGCGCTTTTTCCATTTCGCTCGTCTATTCTGAAACCAAACCTGGTGACATTTTATTGTTGTTGAGGTTCTTAGTCATTAACGACACTGAAATTAGTAGTTCATGTCATTGTCGTTATCAAATAGAAATGTTTCTTTTACTGATGTTTGTCATGCTTTTTATTTTATTGTTTTACATAATTCTAACCGTCATTTAAAATAATTGCCAACCCTGGAGCAATAAATTTTCTAGCCGTTACGTCAGCAAAGGCATCAAATTCATTATGGTCGTTGTTGCAATTTGATCTTGCCTGTGTTGTCGGATATATAAAATTGTTGAATGGTATAACGGTTGTCTTTAATGTTGAATGGTTGTCATTAATGGTTGAGATTTTGTGAACTATAAAGTTCTAGTTATGCAGATACCTTTATTTAAGTTTTATTTAACGTATTTTATGTATCATATTTATTAACTTTTGTAAATCTTTTTTATGCATATATATTTTAAATATTAATATATTTATTTTATATTTATTTATTTGTTATTATTATTTTATTATTTTTTACGACCTGCCTTTATTCTCAACGGGACAGATGACAAGACCTCGCATGCTACACAAAAACTTCTTTATATTCAAGATACGTGTTTGTATATCCATTTATATATCTGTGTGTTTGTTTGTTTGCATGTTTGTATGTTTGATTGGGTATGTGTTTTTTTGTATTTTTGCTTGGATTTTTGGCGTTTGTATGTTTGTCGTTCTTTTTATATTTGTGTTTGTATATCATGATAGTCTAATTGTGTGCGTTTCACTTGGTATGAATGATTATTTTTCTAAAGAAATATTTAATGGTTTTGTTTTTTACTTTTTTTATTGTGTATTTGTTTTTATGTGCATATGTATGCGTATATGTATGCGTATAGTATGAGTTGTATGTACGAATATGTTGTATGTGTAAACATATGCAACTATGTATATGTTCAAGTCTAAAAAAAACATATCTAATGTATGTGTATGTATGTATGTATGTATGCTTGTATCTTCATTTGTGTATGTATAAACAGATTTGTATATTTATAAAGTGAATCACGTATAAATTTTATGACTCTCCATACACGCGTACTGTGTACTTCATATACACGCTCATGGTTGGAGTGTGTGTGTATGTGTGTGTGTGTGTCGGTGTTTATGTGTATATATGACGTGAGTTTGTGTACATTTTTATTTAAGCATATGCTTAAAAAATAGTGTATGCATGTGATGTGCGTGCGTGTATGGAAGTATAGTGAAGTGTGCGTGTGTTTGTGTGTGTGCGCCTGTGCGTGCGGATATGTGATACGTTGGTATTTATTTCTGCCCTCTTGCACTTGGCTGCGTGTGCCTCTCCATCGAACATGATGCTAAATGGAATGAACTTGGATAAATATCGAAAGTCATGTGTGTCAATGTTTCTTATGTATTTGTGGTGCTTGTTTAGAACACTGTGCAATCAAACAAAATTGTATAATCTAATGAATGGCTAAACAGACAAACAAACAAACGATCCACACAGACAAACATACAAACGAACAAACAAACGAATGGACAAAAGTACATTGAAAGACGGGTAGAAAGACAAAGAAAGCCACGGTCTGATTTTGATGTCTTCTAGCACGCGAATTTTCGAGAACGGCCGAACAGATGCGTGACGTAATATAAATTTTAGCTAGTAAGTCGATGAGTTAGTAGTTGAGAGGTGGATGAATGAGAAAAATTTTTGTAGCGTTTAATAATAAGAATATTTTATTTTATTTGATCATCACGGATAGATTAAAAATATATATTTGAAAAATCTTGCACATTCTCATAGAACCTAATCACATACATGCATATAATTTAAAAATTTTACATATAGTTGCATCTTCAGAAAGAACAAAAAAGATGAATGAACAGAAGTTACAAAAAACATTACAAGTATTACATTATATTACATTACAATAACATCAACAACAGATAAGTATAATGCCATTAATTAAAAATATCAATAACTAAATACAAACGGTTCAAATGTGATTATTATTCCGAAAAAACTGATATTTTGAACAGGTATTGCTCCATCTATTGTTCATTTCTTGGTAGAAGCAGGGTCACCAAGAAACATTTTGTGGCCCAGTGCAAAAGTTTTGGCCGTGACCCAAAACTGATGACTATTTTTTGGCATTACACATTTTTTTAAAGTTCTCCCTTTTTTAAAAGTATCGACGACACACTTATTACAACGTTTATGTTTAATGAAAGTGTTGATGACAAACAAATTTAAAGAATCTGTTATTACATTTGCAGTACTTAATAAAATTCTTATGTTTGATCGATCGCTTGATACATAGAAATACTAGGAGATATACCATCAAACAAACAAAAAATAAACAAACAGAAAAACAAACAAATGAACGGAAAAACGAACGAATTGACAAACGAACGAACAAATGAACGAGCGAATGGACGAACGAACAAACAAACAAACAAACAAACAAAACGTGATAACAACACATTTTCACTCGCATAGAAATCTAAAGCATTAGAAGTCATGTCCACAGAGATTAGAAACAAAGAATCGAAAATACGCGGAGTGAGTATTATTTCTTTGTAATTGATGGCTCCATATAGTCATAACATGAGTGCTACTACGACAACTTGTTGTTGATGATGTTGTTGATGATGATGTCGTTGATATAATGACGTTGTTGTTGTTGATGTTGTTGTTGATGATGTTGTTGTCGATATGATGTTGTTGTAGACGCGCTCGTGATGATGATAATGAGGATGATAAAAATGATGCTGTTTTGATATTACTGATGTTAATGATGCCATTTGTGAGGCTGATGATGTTGTTATGGTTGCAGATGATTATGTTGGTGATGTCGGTGACGTTATTGGTGATTATATTGATGTTATTGATGCTATTGATGTTAATGTCATTGCCTATTAGAATTAAAATATTTTGCTGATGCTTGTTGACGTTTTTACTTAACACAGCTTTCAACATTTTTGATGATGTGATGGATGAGGTTATGAATAAGTTTGTTGATGTGTCAACAATTGTGTGTGTGTTTGTGTAGTGTATTGTATGTGTGTGTTGTATGCACGTATAGACAAAACAAATAGATATTTGAATAAACAAACAAACATCACAAACTTACATAGTTACACATAGTACGAACATGTATTTACATAGAAACAAACATACAATTATTTTTGTTCTATGGCACAGGTTGGCAAGATATTATAATGTTTCGTCGTATGGCAGTCCATTAAGCTATACGTACACAAATGTGCTGGGACTAAGTGCATCAGAGCACTTTTGTATCACTACCTATGTTTGTATGTGCGAGTGTATGTTTTGTATGTTGCTTTGTTCGTGTGTGTAATTTACGTCTTCGCATGCGTTTGTGTATGTTGTGTATGGTTTTGTATGTGTATGTTTTGGTATATGAGTGTATGCTTTGCAGGTTTTTTTATGTTAACTTCGAAAATCCATATATAAAACAAATACGACTCGTTTTTCTATGTATGTATATGTGTTTTGGGATCAAATAATTCTTCAAATAAGCATGTGTACGAAAGCACATGATTGGTGCCTCATTTAAATGTTAAAGCCTCGTGTAAACACAAATTTTTGTAACCAAATAATATTAAAAAAATGATAAAATATAAGATTGAATAAATTAATAATATTAAAGAATGACAACAAATGAGAATACGAATGAACAAAGGAATGAACTGTGAACAATTAATTATGCATCTGTTTTTCAGCCTGTTCACGCATGGCCAGTTGCCTTCATTGCCTCGTTCACTCCATATGAACAGAACAACATGCAATTGCATATATCTGAATGTTTTTATCCCATGTATAATGCAAAATACTGATATACACATGTTTTCAACATAAAAAATAACAAACAACAGACACACACATTAAAATGAAAATTTGTTTAAATATTTACAAAAAATAATTAAAAGGCTTTGGAGAGTGAACCAGAGAAAAGAAGAAAAAAAAGTAAAAACTAGAAAGAGAGAGAGAGAGAGAGAGAGAAAGAAAGAGAGAGAGAGAAAGAGGAGAGAGAAGGAAGCCAATACCCAATTAAAGCTTCCAGCGTACAGCATGGCGAACACATTGCGCATACGCTAAGCGCCGAGTATTAACGTTGTGGGTTTTTGCGTCTGATGTTTGATCAGGTACTTTTGTGTTGGCGTCTTCGCATGCGTGTGTGTCTCCGTAAAAAGTGTTTGTGTATTCGTGTTTGTAATAATAATTACGGATGTGTTGTATGTGGTGCTTGAGCTGACATCTGCCGATATTTTTGAGAAGATTATTTCGAAATATCGTCAAAATATTGCGGGGATTTGCATGGAATTTTTTTGTTTTAAATATTTATACTGAGAGATGCTGACAAAAATAACATTTAAAAGTCGCGATGCAGAGGAAATGTGTTGTATTTTCTAACATGATAGTTCCTCAAATATTTTACCAATGTAATAAATTTTCATAACGCGTCCTGGCTCTCATGGCGTTCCAATTGGGAAACCACAGATGGCTTTAACTAACTAAACTAAACTAATTTTTTATGATGGTGAAACAGAGAATGGTGAGGACGAAGAAAATGGGGTTGAAAAAAAGAATGGTGATGATGAAGTTGAGAAAGATTCTGAGCATGTGCTGCAGGAATAGTGATTTTATTTGTTGTAATAAATGGCATCACTCATCAAAAAATTTCATCAATATAAATTAAATACAAACTTCTTGAGGTTATTATTTAAAGTATTACCTTTTGGTTGTTTGCCGAATTAATTAAGAATTTGATAGTCAATCAGAATTACAGTTTAATAAGTGGTTTCAGTATTTTCTCCTGTAAAGCTCTGTCCACTGATCATGTTCAAACAAACAGGTTTTATGCATTATTAAAACAAAACAACATCCTTGTTAACAAAACAGCAACAACAAAACAACATCAACAAAACAACAACAACAACAAAACAACAACAACAGCGGGTGAACGGGGGACCATTATAGTTTCTTGTGCTTTCAACAGCACGAAATAAAGCGCTACATCAATTAAGCTATGACATCCCTGCTTTGACCGGTGCATGCTACGTGTAGGAGGAAAAGAAGATGAAGAAGATGGAGAAATGAAATGATAGGAAGATAAAAATTAGAATGATAATAATGAGATGAAGATGATGACGACGACGATGAAGACGATGATAATGAGAAGATGAGGAAAGTATAAAATTATAGAAAAATGAAAATGGCCTGATGATGAAATTATGAAAGTAAAAGGTGCTTCCTAACTTGAAGATTTTGATAGTAAAAATTGAAATAGTCAGGTGAATTTCATAAAACCACAAATTTTTTGCAATCATCCGAAAGGTATGTACTCTGCTCTACAGGCAGACGACGATGCGTACATGTGAGCATAGATACCAATGATGATACAAACAAGTGATGATGATGAAGATACAAAAACATGATTGCGAAGATAGAAAAACATGATAATTCAGATCAGACAGCTGACCAATTAATGAGTGAAACAAAAACACCACAAATAACCACAACTCACAAACGTTTTCAA